GCAAAAGTAAAAATTTAAAAAAAAAAAAAAAAAAAGATCTTCCAGCGGTCAGCGTAGAAATATAAAAAAAATACTTGAATCACAAAGAAAATTACAAAATAAAATTTCCAAACGTTATAGAAGTAAATTAAAAGTGATACCGAATGGGAAACAAATCAAAAAAAGATACGCACCTGAGTTTTAAGTTGAAACGGCCGACAGAAGGGGATTAGTACAGAGAATGTTTAACTGAAGCTTCCCACAAATGTTAACAAATGGACTGTATTAGAAGAATTGACGACGGTTACCTTATTGCAAAATTTAGCTGAAGCTTCAATGATGTTAATCTATCATTGCAGTAACATAGAACCATGCAAGGAACATTCTGAAACTGAAAGACGAAGGATTGGATATTTCTAGACCAATGATGTGTTTGTCTATTCTACCCTTATCTAAAATAGTCTACGGAGCTAAATGAGGCATTGGAATAAAAGGCATGTGGCAAAGTTTTACTGAGCTAAATGACTATTCTACCTTTGGTCGACCAAGCATGGCTCTTCTATATAATAGAAATTGTTTCATTGGTTTGAGTGGTTGAATTGTTAAAGGATGGAAATTGAACTGGAATTTTACTATTAGTGAAAGACTGTCCATTATTTCTTATTATTGAGTTTTCAGTTTTATTTGCATATCCCATGCTTAATTATAAATCTCAATATTTTATTATTAGCCCATAGTAAGTGTCGAATTCGACCCCTCGTCACTACTTCTTCGAGGTTAGACTAGATATTTGCTGAGTACATGTTGTTTATGCGCTCACGCTACACTTCTGCACTGATCGTGCAGGATTTGAGACAGGTGCATCTGGTTATCCTCCCGGCGCGCATCCTTAATTCCCCGAGACTTTGTGGTGAGCTGCCTTCCGAGCCCGTTCTGCAGCACCCGAAATCTTTCTTTTGCTTTTACTTTCTGTCTATTTCACTTCAGACAATAGTATAGTAACTTTTTGTATATTCTGTTAGTAGCTCATACACTTGTGACACCTAGTCTTGAAGATCATGCTAGTAGACACTTAATGATTGTTTTTTTTTTTTTTGGTTATTTACTTCATTTCATTTACTCTTAAAATTGGCTATCTCTCATTTTTCTAAATTTTCACATCTTATCTATTCAATAATTAAGAATCAACTATTTCTAAACTGTTAAAAGAAACAACCACACGGTTAGTTCACGATTGGCTTGCCTAGCGGTAACGTTGGGCGCCATCACGGCCTATAGGAGAAATTGGGTCAGGACATTTTGGACATGTATAGGCTTTCCAACGTTATCCAAATACCATGTGCGGTGTCTTCATCAATGATGCTATTTACCATATCATCTTATAAGTGCAACATGATTGCACTAGCAGCCCTTTCATCCAAGTTAGCCCAATCCTCAACTTTCATGGTATCAGGCTTTTTGGCATCAGCATCAAGTACCTTGTGTAATCCTTATTGAATGAGCAGATCCCTCATCCTTCTTTGCCATGTTGAGAAACCGTTATCTCCATTGAATTTTGCTACCTCGTACTTTACTCCAGACATTCTTTTCCACCGAGTATAGCACTACCGACAGTGAATAGTACTTCTGTGAACGAGCAGCACATGTGCTTTGATACCAGTTGTTGGGAATAAACTCCCTACATAAATAGTATTCACATTAATAAAAGCGGAATAATAATGCAACACCGAGATACGGTAATGAACAAGAATAAAAGAGTGACAACGACACCAAGATTTTTACATGAAAAACCCTTTTGAATAAGGAAAAAAATCACGGTCCCGATACGAGCAACTGATATCACTATAGCAAAGAATTTTATACTTTGTAGGTCCGAGTAAAATATTTCAAAGTCCACTACAACGCTCAAAAGAAATAACCCTCTTTTGATATTCCCACCTTACTACAATATCGCTCACTCTCTATTTTTCTCACGGACTATTTTCTTATACCCTGTCTGTGAAACCTCACTCTTTCTTTCTCTCTTTGTTGGTATGTAGAAATGAGAGCTAAAGCTCTTCTTTTATAGCCGAAATCTCACTCTCTAAAGTCTACTATATTTGACAATTTGCACACATTTTTCCTTCTTTTTCTTCAATGTTGACAATTCAACAAAGTTGGCTACCAAACCAAAAAAATTCAACAAAGTTGACTACCAAACCAAAGAAATTCTCAGTCAAATATTTTCCTTAGACACGTGCCTGCTACTTTGAATTTTGAACGAGACAGAACCCATCACGTAAGAGGAAGGATGAACATATTCGTCGGTTCATACTGTATGAACCATACAGTTTTTACCATTAAACTTTTTGCCGATAGTTAGAGACGACTTATGCAAAATTGAGATTTACCTTTTTATACTCTCTTTAAAAAAAAATTATTTGCAATATACATAATACATCGTATAAGAAACTTGTATATATGCGGGCCCCACTATGCTGACCTACTCATCTTGCAAGAAAATAATTTAATTTATTAAAAGCAGGCCGCCAATTGTAGCAGCGACTTACTGAGACCTTTAAACAGATGGAATTTTTGTCATCAAAATCTGATCTAACCTCTAAACCACTCTTGATCAATATTAGGAGGCAAATACTACTCATAATTCAAAGCTGATTAATAAAATTGAAAGGAAGATTAGTAAAAGCCTCAGTGAGGTGCCCAATAATGTGAATAGTGTGACTTTACCACTTGCACTAATAATCTTTCTTTACATCGGGAAACAGTCATATTACAAAATAATATACAGCTGAAAGTAACCTGTGAAATGTCAATCATTAAAATACAAACAATAGCTAGATTAAAAAACAATAACTACACCTTCTACCCCAAGCTTTTTGGGGTCTGCTACGACTATATGAATAATTCCTGTCCATGTTCAGTAACAAAAACTAGAGAACCTGCAAAATTGTACACATCCTACCATGCAAAACTGTGCATATCTTACTATCTACAAAAAATCAGCGCAAGGCCGACGGCCATAGTCGAGACTGCTGACATCTTCCATTTTCAGTTGAAGATGTCAATGGCCAAAAGAGGTAAAATCAGACAGCATCACTTCTATTTTATCCTTTTGGTAGCAGCAGAACTACGCTTTGAGAATAATTTCCCAAAAAGTCCTGTTGATTTGGAACAAGGTGTATGCTGAGTAGAGTCAATAATAGGGCTATTAGGAATGTCAACATCTGATTCAAAAGACTCTGCAATATCATTAACTTCACCCCTCAACACTCGCAGCAACTCCAAAGCCATTGCCTTTGCTTTGTTGTTTCCATTAACAGATACATTGACAAGTTCAGGGATCACTCCTTCATTCATCACCAGTAGACAATATTGAACCTTTTGAGAGCACAAAGAAAGAAGAAAAGCCACTGCATGTTCCTGGTCCTTGCGATTGTCACGTTCGAGCAGTTTCACAATTGAGGCAATGCATCCATCAGTTTCAGCTATAGCAATTCTAGCATCTTCATTGATGCACAAGTTTTGCAAAATAATAACACAATCTCTTGCTAGACTCGTATCCTCAAGAAAAGGGACCAACTTGGGAAACAACTCCGAAGGTACAATCAAGGAACCAAGTTGGCTACTTCCTGACATGTTACATAATATTTTGATGGCTGATTCCTGCAATTCCGGACCGTGTGCATCAAGAGTTTCCAGGACAGTAGTGAGTGCACCAGACACGGCAATTTTATGCTGACAATGTTGGTGGCGGGACAGCACCTCGAATACGGAAAGAGCTTCTTTAGAAACCTCTGAACCAAGCAATGATGTCAAAAGCGCAAATGCATGGTCGCTCAAGTATGGTATACTGCTTCTGAGACAAAGGAATCATACAAGGATCAGTATTTGGAAGTAGAATAAGATAATAAAAACCATAATATTGATAGAAACTATATCAACAAAGATAGAAGAAGACAAATACTACCTCGCATTCTAGTATTTTTAATAAGGTGCAGAAGCATTATAACATTGAGGATATCGACATAATCAATTGAAATCAAATCTGGATTTTGAGAATAAACAAGAAATTCTACTCGAAAGGGAAAGTAGTCGACGAGCTCACATTTCATTAGAAACAGTAATTACTCGAAAAGGATTTCAAAATTTTGTTACGTGGATTTCTTCTCCCCAGAGCTTTGTTAGAATAATTTGTCACCACAGAGGTTCGTAGGAAAATTAACAGTTACCATTCCACTAATCCGCTTAGATGGGGACTCAATCTACAATAATGAATCACAGAGAGAGAGAGATCAGAATTAATTACCCGCATTTATCTAGAACTGCTAATAATGACTGACATCCCAATAATTGAGCATCCATATCATGAGATTTATATGCATCTTTTAAGAATCTAAAAAGTTTTTGAATAAATTTCTCAGATGGCATCCAATCGCAAGCTCGATTGTTATGTTTCAACATGTTTTTTATATCTCCAACCAAGTTGCATTGAGACTCCCAAGAAACCGAATTGAGGCGATCCAGCTCCATTTCATTCATGCTTCCACCAGATTGAACTTTGTGAAAATTGCCACTGCTTTCCGGTGACTCCACATAGAAGTCATTTGGCATCTTAGCATGCAAAGAGTGTGATGCAGAACCAGCATCATAGGATCCCATTGATAAATTGCTGAAGTCTATAGGTAGAGATAGATCTATCATTGAGCTGCTCAAGCTAGAAATTGAAGTGGAAGATGATTCCCATGAGTGACCTACAGCTGCTTGTAGGCTGGGGTCAACAACGCTGACCCCATGTGCTGCAGCCCACTTTGATATTAGGTCCTTCATCGAGTTATTTGGGGTTAACGACAAGTGGACCAATCTCCTTTTAGTTTTTGGACATGTATCATTACCTTGCGCAAGCCATTTTTCAATACATAATCTTTCATATGTTTGTCCAGAAGCAATGACTACAGGATCATACATTAGTCTCAAAGATAAAGGACATTTGAACTCATCTGGAATTAGAGAGGAGTTGAAGATATCCCTTTGAGCATCATCATGATGAAATCTCAGACGAGATTCAACTTCATATTGATTTCCAAAAGAGAGGGAGTCTTCATGCTGCAAAGATCCATTCTCTATTTGCTCTGCCACAATTGATTTTCCATTTTTATTGAGAAGATTCAGAAAGAGCAATAAGATTCTCCTCTTTGCTGGATCACCCTCCACAACTTTCTCCAGCTGCTTTTTTATGGATCGTTTCTCTATCAAAAGATTCTTTGGAGATGTAATATGCAGCCTCTGCATAGCAATTTGAACAGCCTCAACGACATGTTCATCCCCTGAATGTGTTGTAGATGTATACTGCTGAAGTAATTCCCTCAAAACCTTTCTTGCCTCCTCTTCAGACGAGTCCAACCTAAATACCCCAGCCCTCAGGTCAGCAACCAGTTGCGATATCTGCAGCCAATAGTGTCATTGAAGTGCATTCCCAGAGCCAGCAAACGGAAACAGAAATCAACCACGT